AAAAAAAAAAAAAGGTAAATGAGCGCTATCACACCTTGTCAAAATCATAAAATAAAACTAGGACATTTATCTCTTGAATGCTTAAAATATAACAAAATGCAAGTGCTGGGTTAGAACTAAATTTACTAAGTCAAAAGTGTATTTGAAACATAGACATCCGGATGTTTTAATCAGATGCAACAATAAATTGTACATGTCCACTTACCGCAATACCAATCTTTTTCGCTTTCGAGAAAAGATTCGTCTTTATTCACGCAGCTGGGATGATATGATTTTTGACAGTCCCTGAACACAGAGCACGTGTATTTGTGATAAATGGAGAGGGGAGAGGGAGAAAGAGAAACCAATCTAATTGGCACTTAGCTTTATCAACAAATGAACAGAGCAAAGGTTTTGTTTATACACAATGTAACTCGGATGCATACATAAAGGTACAAGCAAAAAAAAAAAAAAAAATACATTAGTACACAACGTTCGCATGCAGTGCCATATAGTTCACGTGCTTAGTATTTAATTTCTCACTATACGCTCAAACTCGAAGTACGATTACACAAAATCTACTATAAAATTGTCCTTCTTACTATGTCGTTCTTGACAAAATTTGCAGCAGGAAGTGCAAAACATGCTAGTCGGTTCAAATGAATCCAATTCATAACTGCACGTGTCCGATTTCATTAGAAGAATTTGAAAGAGAAATTTGGCTGTCTCATTTTATTCGAAGCAGCTAGCAGAGCATCATAAACTCATAGACAACTGAAAAGTACAAACATGCAATTGGCCCATAAGTGAAAAGTTTCAACCAATATTTCACTTAATCCAATCAACGATTAGCCTCTGTAAACAACGTCAACTTAATGAGTTTTGAAGACACAATGCAGATTTGATCTTTCCAGCTAAACAGTCAAACTTAAGCTCTATTACAAACAAAAAAGGGCTTTATTCTCATTAGATCCTCAAAATAAAACCCACATTAGTTTAACGCAGATCACACAAGTATCGTGCCAAATGAACAACAAAGGCATATATAGCAATTCCATTGTTAAGCCTTAGATCTCAAACATATCCCCATGTAACGATTACCACGTGAATGTTGGAACTAAATTATCTTCCTTTCTCATAAGAGGCAGAAAGAAAGTCAAAACACATTCAATTTCAACTCTTTGCTCACACTGATTATGTTTCTATGAAGCCAGCATTCAAGTTATATCATCCACTTTGCAAGCGCACCGAAGCGAGATACAGAATGAAAAGTAAACTACCAAAATCCCACCACAAATAGGTCGAGTCAAGCTCTATTCATTCATGCCCAAAGTGTTTTCAAAACTTGGTTTTCCAGCTGTGTCTTTGTTATCCTCCAGGCCACAGAATATATTCCACTAAGTTTGAAAGCCTCATATTAATGTTACCACAAGTCAAATTGACAAAAAGGGCAATTAATATCCAGTTTTCCAACCACATCAACAAATCCCTTGGCCACCAAACACACACACACACACACACACACACACACACACACACACA